CGCGTCGCTCAAAAGGTGGGACCTGGGCCCGCGCCCGCGGTCACCTTGTCCTAGGCGCCGCGCACCTGGCGCTTCGGCAGGCCTGGGCCGCGTGCGGCGCGCGGCCTCGGGGCGCAGGGAGGGGGCACTAGGCCAGGGAGGGTCGGGTCCCGTGTGTGCTCCCTGTGCCAGAGCAGGGCCTCGGGGCGAGCTCCCCGTACCCCACTTCTCCTTGGACCTTGCCCCTGGAGCGGCGCGCCTGGGCCTCTCCGGCGGGCCGCGGTGACGCGCGCGCACGCGCCTCCCATTCATTCATTCATTCACACGTTTGCTGAGCACCTACTATGAGCCAGGCAGAGTGCCCAGCGCCCGGGGCCTGCCAGCACCCGGAACACCCAGGATCGCCTCCAACTCTGCTCTCCAGATATCGGGGCATATTTTTCTTTTACAGAGTCAGGGTTGCCGGTCTGCACTCGGCTGAGTGCTGTCCCATTGGCCTAACGCCTCTGGTTCACTCTGGAACTGCCCAGGAACCTGTGCCCCAGGAATGCTGTTGGGAGGATCTGGTCCCATTTAGCTCCCTGGAGCTGGGTGGGGGCGGCGGCATACCACTCAGGGCCAAAGGTCGCTGATTATTACTCCTCAGAAAGAGGAAGTTAACTAGTAGTAATGGGGCTCCCTTTGAAGAGCCTCTCTCTCCAGATCCTAATCCTTCTATCGATTCCTGTTGGAGTCTAGAGAAACTTAGGTTAGAATCTTGGCCCTACCCTGCCCACGCTGGGTGACTGCGCAAGTGACTTCACTTGGAGCCAGTGTCTGCATCCGTTCATTGGGCCAGCAGCCCTCTTCCACTGTGAGATCCTGAATCCTCGGTGCATTGCTCATCCAGAGGGATGGCTCCTATGGTTGTCATTATTGTTGTTTGGCTTAAAACAAGAGGGATGCATTCTCTTGCTCTGGAAGCTAGAATTCAGGGTGTTGTCGGGCTTATTTCTGAAGCCCCTTCCTCACCTCTGCTAGCTCTGCTAGCCACAAATGTTCTTGGCTTGTGGCTGCGAAACTCTGGTCCCTGCCTCTCCACCTTCACAAAGCCATCATCTCTGTGTGTCCTCGCTCCCTGTTTTTAAACGATGGCTAGTTGTTGTTAAGGGGCCCCGGTGGCATAATGTGCTGAGCATTGGGCTGTTAACCACTTGGTCGTTGGTTCATACCCACGAGCTACCCCATAGGAGAAAGATGAAGCTGACTGCGTATAAAAATGTACAGCCTGGGACACCCCAAGTAGGGTCACTATGAATTGGAATCCACTCGCTGCAGTAGGTGGTGGGGTTTAGTATCATTGTGGCTCAGGACCCCTGGTGGCACTGTGGGTTAGGGGTTGGACCCAACAGAGGGTTCGAACTCACCAGTGGGACAATGATGAGGTTGTCTGCTCCTCCGTGAAGATTTGCATCCTGGGAAACCCTCTGCAGGGTTGCTCTAAGTCAGGATGGGCCTGATGGCAGCGGGTTGGGTGTGGGGGTTTGAGTATACCGAGACGTGATCCAGACTGGCTCTCTGGCTTGAGGGTGGATAAAGAAACAGCCCATACCCTAACCTGGCACTGTCTGAACTACACCCAGACTTTCTGATTAGGAGCTTGGTGTCTAGCAGTTCTGGGTTCAAAT